ACAGACCCTTTTCTTAATTTCCTTAAAACAACAGCATCGTACCGTGGAATTTATAATGTATACAGAAGTAAAATAAATGATGACAACAGCAAAACGACAGATGGGTCAAAAGAATTACACTACTATGAAATTCCTACATTTCATACGAAGTTACAGTCTTAACACCAAGTCGACTGGTGACTCCAAGGTGCAGACTGAAATGCGGAAAGTGATCACGTAAAAAGCAAAAAGAGGTAAAGGCACAAACTAGCCGAGGGAATCAATGGAATAAAGAACGTCTGATGAGCCCAAAGGGAGAAGGGAAAAGAGAAACAAGAATAAAGAATAAAAAACAGTGGGACGGTGGCCCTCAACCGCAGATAACTAAATGTACATTTACATTGTATTTACGCAAATCGAACACGCCCATTAAAATCCGGAAATAGAGTAAGTCCCTGTACTGTCTACAATGGACATACCTGAAACACACACACAGGTTATCAGGGGAGTACATACAGGCTACACCGCAGCTAAACAGTAAGCTAGGAATGGTTGTGACTGTACTGATAACCAGGCAGAAAAGGCTTATTTTATTTATTTACTTATTTTAATATTTTACTTATTTATTTGACAGAGACCACAAGTAGACAGAACAACAGGCGGGGGGCGGGGGGGAAGCAGGCTCCCCGCTGAGCAGAGAGCCCGATGCGGGGCTCGATCCAGGACCCTGAGATCATGACCTGAGCCAAAGGCAGAGGCTTAACCCACTGAGCCCCCCAGGCGCCCCAAGAAAAGGCTTTTTAAACCAGAAGAGTTACAATATATGGAGAATACATCCTAGTGATAAAGGGGTCAATTTATCACGGAAGACAAAAAGCTATAAATGTGTGTATCTGGTGGGAGAGCTTCGAAACACATGAAATCAGAACGGTGCTGAAGGGCGGGAGGACCAAGCGGCGCCACCACAGGACAGAACGATGGGCGTGAGGACTGGGACGGCACCACCCACTCCCAGACCCACCAAACTCGGGAGACACCTTCTTTTCCAGCGTCCGAACAACACTTAAGATCAACCACATGCTGAGCCCTAAGATAAATTTCAAAAGAATCAAATCTTAAAGAGAATGGTCTTAACCATAAAAGAATTAAATTAGCAATCAAAGACAAGAGGGTATCAAAAAAAATCCCCGAAGAGTTAAAATTTGAACACATTTCTTTTTTCTTTAATTTTCTTTATTTTTTATTTATTTGACAGAGGGAGATGACAAGCAGGCAGAGAGGCAGGGGGAGAGAGAGAGAGAGAGGAAGGGAAGCAGGCTCCCGGCTGAGCAGAGAGACTGATGCAGGGCTCGATCCCAGGACCCTGAGATCATGACCTGAGCCGCAGAGGCTTAACCCACTGAGCCACCCAGGTACCCCAAAATTTGAACACATTTCTAAAAACAAAAAAACATGGAAAAAAGAAAATTCACAGGGAAAATGAGAGAATACTTTGAATGAAAATTAAAATGTATCAAAACTTGTGGGCTATAGCTAAAACCAGGCACAGAGGGAAACCTACAGCCTTAAACAAATGGACTGGAAAAGAAAGAAGGTTGAAATTTGATGATCTAACCTCAAAACAAATAAAGATCAGAGAAAAGAAAACAGTCGGGGGGCATCCACAAAAGAGAAAAATCAGCGAAGTAAAAAGCTGTTTCTATGAAAAGAAGGCTGTGATTGACAACCCCGTAGCAAAGCCGATGAAGGAAAGAGAAGACACGAACAGGGTTTGCTTGGTGGGTCCCACACACGTGAAAGGGACACTAGGAACCGTTTTCGCCAGTCAACTCAACAACGCACACGAGCGGGATTCCTTGACAGACGCAAACCACCAAACTGACACAAAAAGAGACAGGAAATTCTGAACAGCCCGGTATCTGATAAAGAAATTAAACAGTAGGAAGAAAAGTCAAGGTCTGAGTCATTTCAGTGACAAATTCAGTCACACATTCAAGAAAGAAATTACGCCCATCTTTTAAGTTTCTTTCAGAATCTGGAGGAGGATGGAGCACCTCCCAGCCTGAGGGACAATGCCTCAAGCCCCTACTATCAAAACCTAAGAAGAAGTACAGGTCAATATTTCCTCAGAAGTAGAGGCACAAAAATGGACCAAAAAATGCTAACAAATTAAGTCTGGCAATATATAAAAATAACTAATTGTGACTAAAGATGTGGGTAAAATAATACATCATGACTCACAGAAGTTCATGCTAATTCAACACACAAAAAAATCAGTGTAATACACCTCCCTAATAGCAGGTGGGAAGGGGCCCCTGGGTGGCTCGGTGGGTCGAGCGTCCAACTCTTGGTTTGGACTCAGGTCGTGATATCAGGGTCGTGGGATCAAGCCCCACGTCAGGCTCTGTGCTCAGCACGGAGTCTGCTTGAGACGCTCTCTCCCTCTTACCTCCACCACCCCCCAAATAAATAAATCTTTAAAAATAAAACAGGAGGTGGGGAAAAAAAAGGAAGAAAAACTACCTGATTATGCCAACAGATGCAGAAAAAGCATTTGGCAGAACTCAAAACCTAATGATGAGGACATTTCTCAGCAAATCAGGGAGAGAATTCCCTCAGCCTATTAAAGGGGCTCTAAGAAAATCCTACAACCAACAGAGTATTTTGTAGGTGCAGGCATGAATTATTCCCCCCTAGGAGTGAAAACAAGGCAAGGATGTCTGTTTTTACCACATATATCCAATGTTATTTACACTGGGTTTCTTAGACACTGCAATAAAGTAAAAAAATAAGTAACCTGCATTAGAAACTGGAAAGAAAGAAAACGACCTTTGTTAAAAAAATAATGAAAAACTCTTTAACATCTTTAAAGTGCACAACTAAATGGTTTTGGTATATTCACGGGGTTGTCCCCCTTAGAGAACCACAGCCCAAGTTTAGAAAACTTGTCATCACTCTGAAAAGAGACCCCACACTCGTTAGCAGTCACTCCTGCCTGGACAATGAAATTTTAGAATACGACTTATATTAACATCAAAGAATACAAGGAACTTAAGAGTGCATAAACTGAAAGGTGTCTGTGTTGAACAGGAAAACTAAGTCCCGCAAGAAATTCAAGTAGATCCAGTCCATGGGGACGGCAGCCCCGTGTTTGGACCAGAAGATTCTACGGCGTCCGCTTTCCCTAACTGATCTGTACTTTCAAAGCCACCACAAGAAAGTATTCCGGGGGCCTTCCTGGTAGCAGGGAAAATCAACTGAGTCACCCCCTCCCCCAAAGGCACCCAGGTAAGTCGATGGGGAAAGAAAAGTCTTCTCAACAGACCCTAACCTCCCAGCACACGAGCATTTGTCCAAGATGGGCCACAGGCCTGAAGAGACACACCGGCCCAGGGCACCTGGGGGCTCAGGAGATTAAGCCACCAACTCTTGGTTTCGGCTCAGGCCATGATCTCACGGGTCATGAGCTCGAGCTCCACGTCAGGCCCTGAGCTCAAACCAGAGTCGGGTTGAAATTCTGTCTCTGCTCCTCCCCCTGCCTGAGCGCACTCTCGCACACTGTCGCACACTCGTGCGCTCTCCCAAATAAAATCATATATACACACACACATATATAAGTCATATGTATAATAAATAAAATCATATATATGCGTGTGTGTGTATATACATACCCAAAATGTAATCTTCTTAAAAAAGAATACCTTGCTCCCTTCAGACAGACAAAGATTTCCTGGAGAGAACACACAATATCATAACAATTTTCAACATTTTATAGCTTGGATGTCAACAAAATTATAAAAATCTGCTCATTAAGAGACACCACTTGGTGCCATGGCAAGCCTCAAACCAGGCAGAAACATTCCCAACACCAACCTGTACCTCAAGTATATCACCGACTCCAACAGACCAGTAACAAAGACGCGAGGCAGGAAGGGGCTTTAACAGACACTTTGTTAGAAAATACTATGTGATGGGCACCTGGGGGGCTCAGTGGGTTAAGCCTCTGCCTTCAGCTTGGGTCATGGTCTCAGGGTCCTGGGATCAGCCCCGCATCTGGCTCTCTGCTCAGCAGGGAACCTGCTTCCTCCTCTCTCTCTGCCTACCTCTGCCTGCTTGTGATCTCTGTTTGTCAAATAAATAAATAAAATCTTTAAGGAAAAAAAAAAAAGAAAGAAAGAAAAGAAAAGAAAAGAAAAAGAAATACTACGTGATGTGCAAATGTAACGGAATTACAGCTACGAGCACAGGAAAAGTGCTCAACTCACTCTCAGGATATGGAAATTGAAACCACAAAGAGAAACCATGAGACACCAATGAAACCTCAAAACTCCCAAAGACTGACCATCCCACACACTGAGGACACGGGACAACCAGAACCTTGCCCGGACGGTGGGAGAACAAGGCCCAGCTGCCCCTCAGGACAGCTCCTTCGCAGTTTCTCACGCCGCTAAGCCTGCACCTCCCCTGTGACCCGGCAACTTCACTCCTGCATCCAAGAGAAACGAAAACGTGCGTCACCACAAAAGACTTCAACAGCTTTGTTCATGATGGCAAAGCCCAGACAGCCCAAGCATCCAACAAGAGGATGACGAAACTATGAAACACTCGTATCATGAAACAGTCCTCGGCTACTGATCCACACAACAATACGAGTCCGTCTCAACGACGTCACGGCCAGTGGAAGGAGCAGGTCAGGGAGACCACCTCACAGGCTGTGCGACCCCGCTGTGTCCCGGCCCCTCCCCCCCAGCAGGGAACAGATCAACGGTGACCCCGGTCAGAGCACCGGCCTCGGGGCTGGGACTGATGAAGAGGGCACGAGGAGAGGTTCTCGGCTGGCGGGCGGGCACAGGAGCTTGTCCCAACATGGAGCTACACCCTTAACTGTATCAAGGTGCAATGAAACACACGAGACATTTTTCGAAAAGCAACCGCACCAGAAAGCTCCGGGGAAGGGCCTGCTGTGCGCACAGGGGAGCCGCGCATCAGTCACGGCCGGTGAAGGGTGAAGCGACAGATACCTGTTCACTCTCCTTGGGCACTTCTCCGGCTTGATGTCCAGTTCGTAATGATAGATGTCAATTTTTGGAATGTCCATTTCAAAGAAGTTGGCCTGTAACTTGATTGTTCTCCCGGAGGTCCCGAAGTCGGGTCTGGGCGGAGGCTTGAAGGCATATCCTTGGATGGGCGGCGGCGGCGGCGCGGGAGGCGCGAGCACTGGAAGGGCCAAGAGAACGCGGGTTACCCAGGGAGCAGCGGCTTTCCCAGAGCTCGTGCGCCGCCTCCACCGTGCGGCCCGCCCTTCCCAGCTCCCGCGGACCCGCTGTCACACGCCACCCCCCACACACGCGTTCCTTCCTCCTCCTCCCTGTGCTCTCACGTTTCCGCGGAAAACCCGCCTCTCCCGCCCCTACCCCTCTCCAGGTCTGCGTCATCAGAGACGCACCATCCTCAACGGCCAGGCCCAAGGGACCCTCTGTCCCTCGAGGCCCCGTTTCACCGTGCACAGGCAGTGAGGGAAGCCTCCTAACGGGGTCTTGACTTCCAGGTACCCCCACCCCCTGCTGACCCACTTTCTACACTCCAGGCCATCCCTGTCCCCATGCCTCTGTGGCTGGCCCCAGCCAAGGCTCCAACTGGCAGCCGTCCAGTGAGCACTGTCCAGCCTCAGCCTTGTCGTCTGCCACCCCCAGACCTCCTCAATCCCGGGCACCAGCCTTCACTCGTCACGGCCCTTACTCCTGTCTCTGGCTTGCTGTGTTCACAGTGCCAGGACACGCGCATTACACTGCGCTGTAAGCCCACTTGGCGGTCTCCCCGGGCGGACCCGGGCAACTTGAGCAAGGTCACCTTCATGCCCTAGAGTCTAAGAGCGCCCGATGGACCAGACGAGCCCAGAAACATCTGGTCAACCTCCTTCCGGTTGTAACTATGGAGGCTGAGGCTCAGACAGGTGAGGCAAGGCTGCGGAGGCCACTCAGACAGAGTCCCTGACCATGAACCACCAGAGTCAGGGAGGAGGATTTCTGCAACCTCAAGAGTCAAGAAACCCGAGCCTTCCCCACAGCGGGGCTCACGCAGGCACCCTGCCACGGCTCGCCTGGGGCGCCACTTCCTATCCCCCAGCCCCTACTCTAGGGGCTTTAGACAGCTGTGCTCAGGTGACTACCCACGCCACCTCTCCCGTCCCTGGAACCACAACGCACCCCCTTCTCCGCAGACCAACAGCACATTTCCACAAAGGAGGGGCCTCAACATCAAGCCACTTCTTGACTTCAACTGCACCGCAGCGACTCACTGCTCATGTGTGTGTCTGTACATCGCTGCCCTGTCTGTGCATGTGACAGAGACCGGGAAAACGGGACCGTGTGAATTCTCAGGAGACAAGACCAAAGGGGTACGATGCATACGGAATTGAAGGGGCCAAGAACCCCACACTGGTGGCCCCCCTGCATTCCCAGGTAAGTCATTCACTTAAGCAAAGAGCGTACTCCTCTCCCACAGACAGTACAGAAACTTCACCCCAACGCAAATTTTCACTAATTCTAGTAAAGTTCAAACCGCGGCTTAGGAAAAGAAATCAACTAAATATTTTTCCAATAACAGAATACCCTTAATTTTTGCTTGTCTTTTTTTTAAATCCTCCTCGTTAAAAAAAAAAAAAAGAAAGAAAGAAAGAAAGAAAAAATCCCACGTACTTCAATCCCTGCTGACATTTACCGGAAACAAAAGTATGCTACTAAGAATAATTTAAGCTGTTTTTACTGCATTTCTGACCTAGAAAAACTCAGAGCCCTTCAGTTACTCTTTTTGTTTTGTTTTCTTTCTACGAGAAAACAAACATGCTTCAAAGGTTATTAATCTCACTGAGTTGTACCACCTGTAACCCTTCAGGTCTGTCTCACTGAGCAACTCTGATGTAGATGCCATGTTACGGACTCGCACACCACACACCAGCCCTTCAACAAGCACACTCGTGTGCCCCTTACACGCTGGGTAACGTCCAGGATGAAGGATACAAAAATAAACAGTGCTCCCAGGCAGCTCCCGGGTCCCCTCCCAGAGCAGCGTGGGAATGCACGCCAGCAAAGGACTAGGCGGGTCTGCTCCTCGTAAGCACAGGCTACGTGTGATCCTTTGTACTACAGACCCTGCCCCTGACCAGGAGCGGACTGTACCGTCTGCCCACACGCCGTCCCTGCTCCTAGGCAGAAGCTAACCTACAAGACGCATCTTGAGAATGCAGAAACACAGCAGAACCGCACGAGTTGACTACTGTGCCCCAGGAAATGCCCAGCCACAGAGACACGGCCCATTTCAGGAACCAGAGCACCAGCCACACCGAAAAGGGCTTTCCAGTTTACAAGGTGCTTTTCACATGTTTCTTGACTGTGCATCACAGCTACGGAGCCAAGATGTTGCCTCTGAAAAGGGAAGCCGTCCAAGGCTCAGAGAGGAAGAGCGAGCTGGGGTGCCCGTTTCTGAAGCAAGGCTTCCTTCCGCCCCTCAGCAGCCAAGCTGGGGATGAGTTTACCGTCCTAAAATCTAACCACTGCCACAGACATGCCTGCGGCCCATTTCTCTGGCTGAGCCCATTTCTCCTGTCTCCGTGATACCCACCACTTCCAGAAAACTGCCGCGGGAAACAAGGGAACCTACCCATGGCCCGGGTCACTAACCCGTGTCAATGAAAGCCGTGGGAAAACACAATGGCGACACATTCATGGAATATGTGACTTCACAAGCTATTTCTTCCTTGCTTCTGGCTTTTAACCCGAAAATCCTGAGAGCTCTGGGCTGGTGTGCGGAGTACATGACCACAAGCGAAGCCCTGACCGTGCCCCAAGCAGAGCAGGGGGCGGTCCCGGCAGCTTCAGGCCCCCGGGAAGGAAATGCTCCTAACAGGAGGATAAAGACTCTGGCCCAGCCTCGCCCTCAGGGAGATCCGGGACTCATGCCTCACGGGGAGTCAATCCCGAAGTGTAAAATGCTAAGACAAGCAGGACTGGGACCCGGAGGGGACCTCGCACAGGCCACGCCGCACGCAAGAGCCCGGGCGCGGGAGAAGGGACAGAGTGGCGGGTGGGCGGGCGGGGGCGCTCTCGTGGGTGTCAGCTCTTGGCCCCAGGGGAAGATGATATTCTGAGATGAAAACCAAATGCTGACCAGCACACACGCCTTCTTCACGGTCAAAACAGATGACTCTGAAAATTAATTCCAGTGTCGCCTAGAGAGCAACTCGCCACGCGCACCCTTCCCGCTCACCCGTGCCGCAGGAGGAACAGAGAAGCAGAGATGCCGGGGAGCAATGGGGGGGGGCTCCATGCCCCAAGCCCACCGCCCCCAAGCTTGGCGATCATGTGCTGTGGAGATGGGGGATGGTTCTCAGCTCAGCCTCCCCCGCCTTCGGGACCATCAACATCTGCTGAATACAGGACAGCCCACAAGGAGGATCTGGGGGGGCTTCACCAGAGAAGATGCCCCTGAGAGACTCAGTGGGGACCTCGCCCCAAAACCCGACCCTGCAGTAAGACCCCAGGTCCTCTCCAGCTGGGCCGACACCGCCACCCTTGCCGGGCCCAGCAATCCTCCCCACCCCCCAGGTGCTCCCATCTTCTCCACCCCACCCCGAGACACGCCACTTCCTTCTGCTCAAAGCTCTGCCTGATGCCCAGGCCTGCATCTCCCCCCACCCCCGCCCCGCGGCCCCAGCAGGTGCACCGCCTCTCCCACCTGGCCACGCGGCACACGGCTCTGCTGGGAATGTGTTTCCACTGTGTCCGTGCCATCGGACTGCTGCTCTGGGGGGTGAAACCCTTGGGAATAGGAAGGCGACCCCTCCTTCCTCATCCAGGAGCACTGGATGGTCACCGCAGGAAGGGACCTCAGCAGGGGGAGGGAAATGGTGGGTCCGAGGTAAGCACAGTCCCTGGCCCACCACCGACCCGATGTACCCACGAGTCGCACCACGGACCAGAGCGCGTTTCAAGGGCAGGGGGGCCCCAGCATGTCAGCCGGCGCTGGTAACGCAGGCAACGAGTGTTTGCGGAACTGCTGCTGGTAACTCAGCGCACGTGCTCAGAAATTCCACTTTTAGAGCCACGTCTCCATCAGTGAAAGGGAAACGTAGTGAATGAGTAACCGACTTCCTGTATGAGCGACTGGGTCACGGCAACTGGGAAGTTGTGCTGGTTTTTTTTCTTTTCTTTCTTTTTTTTTTTACAGGCACCATGGAAAGTGAGCCTGTCGCTGTGTTCTAAGTAAGGCTTCTGCGGGACGGGGCTCTCCTCCCCAGGGAATCCAGGTCTCAGGGCGGGGACTGTCACCCGCCTTTTTTCATGGGAGGGTCCCAGAGCAGGCTGTGTGACACCTGTCCCGCGCACTATCTCCTCGCAGCCCCCTTGCCAGAGTGGGACGCCCGTCCCGGCTCTCCCCTAAGTAAGGGGTGCACACACAGGACAAGAAGTGGGGTGACCAGAGAGTAAAGGCTTGTAGAGGCTCTCCCACGTACCAGATAACTGAGAGCCTGTGGGTCCGGGTCACCTGTCTTCACTTAACTACAGGTCACAGAGCACTTTCTACAGTGGCCTCCGTGGGTGACTGCCTACCGAACACGTGGTCTCGCTTCCCCACCTGTGATGATGGACGGGGACCAGGTGGCTGCTTTCACACGGCGCAGTTCCTCTGATGTCAAAACACACACTCATTACAGAAGATACGGAAAAATACAGAGAACAGAAAAGTTGCCTGTGACGGACGCCACCAGAGGTAATCCCTGTTCAAAGTCAGTCTCTGCACACACACACGACACACAATGTGTGCGCTTGCGCTGACACAACCATGCAGACTTCTCCCTGACGGCTTTCATCTAACGTCATATTACGCAATTCTCCACAACGAATCTTCGCCGACGGCCGTACTCACCAAGCCGTCTCCTGCCGATGCATTTCAGCGGTTTCCAAACATTCACTTTAAAAAGTAAACACTGTGCTGAAGGCCCACGTAGGAACATCTCTACCTACGTCCTTGGAGCGGAAGCAGGGGGCCTGCCGGAGGGCTCAGCGCACGAGGGGGACCCCGCCTTCCGCAGCACCCACCGGGGGCTCCCGCGGCCACCTACTGCCGCTGCCACCCTTCCACCCGCACACGGAGAACAGACTGTCAGATCGACGCTCGCCCCTCGCTGGCTCAGGCTCCAGGTTCCCGGCCTCTAGAACGAAG